TCGAATGTTATTTCTAAAAAGAAATGACAATTTTATTAACATGTTTCCTAGTTCTCACCTATATAAGCAAAAAAAAGCAGAATCAAATTGAGAATAGTTTTTTTTGTTCGCTCGATATAGCGGGTGCCACAAGAGCACAAAAAGGAAAAAATAGCTTTTGCTTCAAATAAATAATTGCGTAATAATGATGATCTGTACAACCATTTTATGTTTCGATTGAACGCTTAATTCGGTTGACCGGTTGACCCAGTTAATCCGGGTCAACCGAAAAAAACTCAGTTAAACCGGTTGAACTCGGTAGGGACCGGTTCGGTTAACCGGTTAAAGGTTTGGGTACTCGGTTCAAGTCTCTAGCTGAAACTGCTTCCGATGAATTAGTCTGATCATTCGAAACCTCCTCTTCGGAATCTATGATAGAGTCATCCTGTTCATCTGATAATTCAGTGTTGAGATTCTTGGAGAAGTAATTAATAATAGTTTGAATTTTACTATCGGATAATTCTGCAATAGAATTCGCGCTATATGTTTTGATATATTTGATTTTATCAATTCCTATTTTTTCGATAAACTCATAAATCTTCCTGGCTCTACTGATGCGTTGATATAAAGTATTTCGTTTGGTACCAGGATTGTGTGCAAGAATAAAATTGTAAATCTGTCTTTTGGACTTTTTCATACCCACCTTTTCTTTGATCATAATTTCATCCACACTTTTATCCAGTCCTATAATAAAATTACACCAGCATAAAATTTCTGCCTGATTGGCTTTTATCGTTTTATCTTCTGCATTACATGCATCTTCGTATAAGCGGGCTATATTATTCAATGCATCTGAATTTTCCTCACGGCCCGTAAGCGAAAATTTTGTCATGTGATTTTTATTAGATTCATCCACGGTGAAATCAAATACATCTTGCACGATATTTTCCACTTCTTTCTTTTTATGTGATCGAACTTCTTTGTTTTGTTGCTGATCCTGAAGTATTTCCACAGTATTTGAATCCGAAAATTCAGAGACTCCAGATGAATTATCAGGTATGATCACTATGCAACCCCGCTCTCCAGAAACTGATTCTTCTAGTGACATCAGTGAAGTAGATGGCAGGATGGTTTCTGTACTATCTGATGACTTCAATTCATGCGATAGCTTCTTCTCCCTATTACGTTGCCTTATCCCATTACTAACACTTTTCTTATGTGCATCATCCAAGAAAGTATCCATTTTCCTGTCCTCCGATGACTTCTTATCACTCACACAAGATGGCGGAAAAGTGACCTGGTCCCTTTGGAACCCTTTACTACACTGATCTATATTAGTGCTAGGTACATTGACAATTACTTC